AAACAGCACAGATTCTTCTTTTCAAAAGTCAAGCCAACAGCTGAGAGACTCAGCACACCCAAAGAAGAAGAAAAACAAACAAGGAGACAAAACAACAAAACACCCCCATCCCAACCCACTGCTAGACACAAATTATACCATACACCACCACTGGCTCCACAATGCACCCGGAAAGCACAGAGCTGGCAGCAGCGGTTACATGTACCTGAGGTCTCACAATGACTTGGATAGAGATGAGCCAGACTGAATGAGTAGGTGAAAGAAGCCTGGAACAGAACCCGGAAACACCCTTTCTTCAAAGTACTCATGTCAGGAGTACATAGCACCGCACAATTAAGAAACAGAACTTTGTAGGAAGGCTGACTCCAGCAAACCCAGGCTCACCAGCTAGACTTCCCTTAGGAAATGTTGGTGTGCCGATTCTGTGGATGAAGACAACGAGAAGAGAGAGTGAGACAGGGCAGTGACTGGAGCTGGGAGAAGCATGGCCGAGAATCCCAGACTATAATTACCCTTCTGAGACTCCTCTTCAGTCTCATGCCCTCCAACCAGCAAAGGCCTGAAGTACCTAACTGCAGAGTGAGGAAACTGTAGCTCAGAGACAGGCCCAGCCACCGGGTTTATTTGAACAGACCATCAAACCCTACAGATGTTGTCGGGGCTGTGAAACAGATCGACAGGCTGTGATCACGGAAAGGAGGCAGAATGCAGTAAGGGTGATAGAAATATAGAGCAAAGCGGATGGAGAAAGACACTTGTTAGATGGTCGGGGCCTGAGCTGAGCGCAGGCAGAGGAGGAGAACACCAAGCTTAGAAGGGAGCTGCGCAAACAGCTCAGACTGACTTCATGAGGTCTCAGGGGGCCTTGTGATCGTGTTCTCACCCCGAGACACTGTTTATACAGTGATGGGAGGATTTGTTTGAAAGTGAGGCTTTAATATAAAATACAACCTGAGGAATATTGTTTTAAAATACATGGGAGCTTCATGGAAGTAACGGAAGACTGCATGATTCCTCAGAAACTTCACTAATGAAATAAACGTTGTGTAAACAGACAGGAGGGGACAAAGGATGAGAAAATGCTAAGATTCAGTCATCTTATTAATACTTGTCAAAAGTCATGGTTGAATAATAAAAGGCAGGAATAATCCTTTTCTCCTAGGCTCTCACATTGTAAGGGAAGATGCTTGAAAAGCACTGTTTATTTATAGGCGATTCATTAATTAAATGCCTTAACAAATCACTAAAATGTAGCTTGTATTCTTAGAAAATGTTAATATAAACTACAAAAACCAGTCATTAGGGAGGATATGGGAGGAGCTGGAAGGGTGAAATGGGAGATGGTTGTGATCATATTTCATTATATACATGTATGAAATTTTCAAAAAGGTTTGGAAACAGTGAACAAAAATACATCTATAGTCTAAATACGACTGATTTTAAGATATGGCAGGAAGTGTGAGATACAAAGGAAACATCTGGTAGATGGATGGCACAATAAACAGATTGATCCAAAGTGACCTTACCTGTGGCTACAGTTCATAAAAGTAGATTACATTTATACATAAAAAGATATTCTTCACTTGATCAAACAAAACCCACTGACAGAATATGCACAGCTATTTAAAAATAAATAGTACCGGAGTGCATCAGCCTGAATCAAGACAGAGGACACAAAGCTGGTTCCATCATGTTCATGACACATAATACAGACTGCAAGACAGAAAGCTGCCTCAGAGCTGAGGATGGTCCCCATTTAATAACAACAGCTCACGGCAGAACTACAACCCCAATGGCGTGGTACAATTTTAAAGTCAATTAGGAAGTAAGTTTATGAGAAAGTGTTGAGAAATGGCCAATTGTAATGTGGGGTTTTGATATACAGGGCAAACAGAAATAAGGGTATGAGGGATTTAAATTGACACCCTAGGCATTCCATCTGATGGTCATGTAAATGACCTTTCTGCAGAACAGAGCACAGGGCCCTAAAGCCTGCCATTCCCCAGCTATGGAAGAAACCCCCCAAAATGGTATAATGTGAACTCTTCTTCTGCAAAGTAAAAATACTTGAAAGAGAGAGAATCTCCATCTGGAAACTTCAATAAACTTAAAAGTACAGAGACACAGCTTTAAATAATTTTAGGATCGGAGAAAAAAGTAATGGGACCAACTGTGCCCAATATCCTCCAGTGTCTCGTGATTTCCCCTCCAAAGTCCTAATTCTGATTAAAGCTTCCAGTGAGCAACACACGCAATGATCATGTGAAAACAGACACCGGTTGGCAGTACAGCCTGCCTATCTGGGTGTCAGCTATGTATGCTGCATGTAGGTGTCTATCCTCTACCTTTCTACCTGCCATCTATCTATCTATCATCTATCTATCTATCTATCTATCTATCTATCTATCTATCTATCTATCTATCTATCTATCTATCTATCTATCTATCATATATCTAATCTATCTGTCATCTATCTATCTAATTATCTATCTATCATCTATTACCTATCTATCTATCTATCTATCTATCTATCTATCCATCTATCTATCTATTATCTATCTATCTATCATACATCTATTATATCTATATATGTAATCTATAAATATATTCTCTATGAATTGAGTATCTAAAAATCTGTGTCTAAGATCTACCATCCATTTTTCATCTATCATCTATCTATATGTCTATGAATTTATTGATCATCTGTGTGTCAGTAACTCTATTTATTCTGTATATTTACTCATTTCTATAAGTATTTGAGACATGTGTCATGGGTTGGAATATCAGGTGACAGTTATATTGAGTATGGAGGGAATGTGAACGTTTTGGAGTCAGTCAAACTGAGACCTGGAGACCAGAAGAGTGAAAATATTATGAGAGATTTATATGTGTTTTAACATGAGGAATTTCCTAAGTTTCCTGAAAAGCAGAAATATTTTAAATCTCCAAGATATTTTTCTGCTTTTGTTCACACATATACAAACACACACACACACACACACACACACACACACACACACACACACACACACACACACGCAAAGGCTCACACACGCAAAAATATATCCATCTGACTTACATCATATACTAGCAGGGTTGATAGGTTTATAGTGAGGATGTTGTTAATTAGTATGGAGTATGTGGTGAATCTCTGTCTCTTTTTTAATTTAAATTTTTTTCATTTTATATACCAATCCCAGTTCCCCCTCCCTCTCCTTCTCCCGCCCCCCACCTTCCTCCATCCCACCCCCCTATCCACTCCTCAGAGAGGGCAAGGCCTCTCTTGGGGAGTTGACAAAGTCTGGCATACTAAATTGAGGCAGGACCAAGCCCTTCCTCCCTGTGTTAAGGCTGAGCAAGGTGTCCCACCCTAGGGAATGTGTTCCAAAAAGCCATTTCATGCACTGAGATAGGCCCTGGTCCCACTGCCCAGGACTCCCCAAACAGATCTAGCCACATAACTGTCATCACATTCAGAGGGACCATGCATGTTCCCCAGCTGACAGGCCAGAGTCCATCTTCTTAATTTTTATGAGTCTAAACTGCACAGGACCAGATCAAGCCCAAGGCACACTCTGCTCTTTCTGTCTGGCTCAGCTCAGCCTGTGGGACACTCAGATAAGAGGTGGCCAGTAGTGGTCTTTTATCAGCCTACTGGGCTGTATGGCAAGCTATATGACTAGTGCTACTACAGAATATTGTCCCCAGGGTCCATGGATTCTAAGAACATCCCTTCACCCTAGTACAAATCCTAGAGTCTCAAAAAACCAACCAACCAACCAACCAACCAACCAACCAACCAACCAACCAACAAAAAACAATCCAAAAATATCTTTGGAGACCCTAGTGACTGAGGGTTCATCAAATCCTGTCTAACTTCTGGCTAGCCATGAGATGTGATGTGGAGGAACCATGGCTGAGGTAGGGCTGGTGGCCTAGAAAAGTAGTAGATCCCCACACACATTGGGGACATCTCTGTTGAGATGGCATCATCTTCTGGAGAAGGCTCTGGCAGAGGCAACTCCAAGCTTAACTGTTATATGTGTCTCCAGTGTCTCCATTGCTATGGAGATGGGGGGTGTGGATTCTCATGGAGCTCTGTAGAGAGCCAACAACATGCCCTCCTGTAGTCATGTACCTCGGCAGGGCATTTTCTCAAACTGAGGATCCATTTGCTATACCTTGTGGATCGTCACATAAAGATATTTTTGGATTGTCTTTGTTTGTTTTTTGTTTTTGTTTTTCAAGACAGAGTTTCTTTGTGTAGCCCTGGAGATCCTGTAACTCGCTCTGTAGACCAGGCTGGCCTTGAACTCACAGACATCTGCCTGCCTCTGCCTCCCGAGTGCTGGGATTAAATGTGTGCACCACCACCACCCTGTCACAATGGTCTTTATTAAGTGTCTGAGTTCCCTTGGCTCTGTGAAGGGGCCAAGTGAAGCGAGAGTTTCATCATCTCAAGTGATTTTTCACCTCTCCTTGTGACCTGACTGCATAAAAACCAAAGACAGTGAAGTCCTAGGATCAGGTCTTACATGGCCAGTGGCTCCTGTCTCTCAGGAAACTCCCCAACCCCACATCTCAGAGAACAGAGGGGTGGCAGTCTCCAGGGCAGAAAGGAGATGACAGACAGCCTGGCTCACCCGTGCACAAGAGTGTGACAATACTCCAGGCAGACCTTGGGATGGCTCTTCAGTACCCATCACTAGTAAGTATGTAGTAAACAGTAGCGACTGACACCAGTGACTTCAGGAGAATCCACCACTGTCACTATAGACATGCTTATAAAAACATCAGGATGCTAAGGGAAGAACTCCTTCTCACAGGTGAAGGAATTTCCAGGCTATTTATCACCCCTAAAGTCTTTTTCCTGGCCCTACATTAAGGCAGCTCTTGTTCCATTTGTCTTTTTCCTGAAATGAAACAGGAGCTGGCAATGATCACTTCTCAGGCTCCAGACTCAAGAGCTCCAATGATCTGTGAACCCTGAGCCTTCTTACCTGGGAGGACAGGCTGACACCTTGCAGGGCACCAGCCCTGTGACAGGTCGTGTCTTGGGGTTGCAAAAGGATGCATTCACTTGCACCTTCAGGTCTCTGTAGCATCCCTCCTTTGAGTTCATCTTGCCTGTAGAAAGGGAGCATGTGATAAAGACTTGCAGTCATGCCCAGAGATAAAAGTGCAGAAGAGCTAGCAAAACCATCTTAAAAATCTTTTGAAAAACCTTAAGAATGCTTGCATGCCTTTGTGTGAATGCCCAATATTTCACAATTTACATATTTCTCTATATATTTTAACATCTTTAAATTCAATATGTTTTACACTGAGGGTATAGCTGAGTGGTAGAATGTTTTCCTAAAATAAGCACAAAGCCTAGGCTCAATCACCAGGACTGTCATGAATGAATAAACAAAACAATAAATTTAACATAGTTTTGCAACCAATGCTGTCATTCATTTGATGAGATAAAATTATTTTACAAAAAAAGCTAATTTCTCAACTATATTAATTTAGTTAAAATTTATATATGAATACTACATTTATATCATTTCCATCCCTTTCTTTTCAACTTCCATACCCCCTCATTTCATCTCAAATTCATGACTTCATCATCTTTAATTATTATTGTTAATATAGGTAACCTACTGAGTTGATTTAAATAAATACTAATATTAATTATGTTCATCTCATATTTCAGCAGAGGGTAGACCTTTTAAATGATTAGGGTTCTGGTCTTTTACAGCTACATTCTTACAACTTTACATCTCAGGCCACGAGAGTCCAGGATATGCGTCCTTCAAGGACATCCCCTTACTTTTGCATCAGTGCTGAAAACACCCGGGGCACCCCTCCTCTCCTATGAGTTCCTGTGCTTTCAGTGTATCCAACTCCACCCACCCTTCCATCCTTGGGATTTCCTTATGTGTGTGACTCCTGCAGAACGATCCTCAGAGCAGCTGAATTTAATCTTTTCCCAAAGGTTCCTCTACTAAATACTGTAGTGGAAATAATTTTCTACTCTGTTAGTTGCACTAACATGAGACCTTGGGGACTGAACTCTTGCATGAGTTTGGGGGAATAAAAATCCATATTGAAATGAGAAGATGTGCAGGTAATAAACACTGATGGCCCACCTTCTCAGGTTTCAAATGTACAGACATGAAACCCTGTATGCATGAGTACACACCCCAGGAGGGTGTAGAGAGGAGATGGCTATGTGTACCAGGAGAAGGCAAGTGTCCTATGCCCAGGGCCCAGGACAGACGCTTGACCCTAGTGCCCTGATGGAGAGGCTATGGGGGGAGGGGTGAGTGCTCCTTGGTAAGGGGGCTTCTTTGTTTCACCCTGAATTATAAGCATACTTGAAGACACCTGTGTGGTGTCAATCCAACTCAGGTCCACTGAGGAAAGTGTCTTCCCTCTCTAGAACACACACTCTTTTTCTTTCACTTATTTTCCTTTCGGTGGTAGGGAGATAAGATTGAGGATAGACACTCAGTTTGAATTTATCAGACTCTTGGCCAAGGACACAAGGACACAGAGGTAGTGAATCAGCTCAAAGGTAACTGAAACACAGCATCATTTCCAGCTCATCTCTGCCACCTTGTTCCTCTGGTAAAGTTCCAAAGAGGGAAGCAGTCATGCCGAGCTTCAGAACATTGTCTCACATAAGGCAAAGGTAGGAGGGTGTAATAGACAGGTCTTGTGCAGATGGGGAAGTGTAGACAATTAAAGCAGTAGGACCAGAGAGTCCTGCTGCTTTCCAGGAGCTATCTCTGTAACACTGCTCTACAGGACACACACTTGTGATATCACACTGAGCTCCCTTGTGGATCATTTCATACAACAGGATTACAATCTTCCATCACCACACATGGAGACTAGGGAAATCCCACTCCAGACTGAGTGTGTTTTTGTGGTTCCAACATGTCTAAAACCAGGGCTAGAAGGATGGGTCGTTGGTTAATAGTGCATACAGCTCTTGCAGAGGATTTAAATTCATTTCCAAGCACCCATGTTGAGTAGCTCACAATCCCCATATCCTGGAGATCAGTTCCCTCTCGGGCCTCCTCAAGCACTTCCCACCCACCCACACACAAAGGCTCAGGTCCCAGCCCTGGTCATCAATATGCATTTAAGAAACAATGAGTTCATAGAAATACCCACTTTGTTCATGGAGGTGTCCTGGTATTCCACACTGATATTGGCTATCTACTAAAAAGTCACTAATTCATGTTCATGAAATTCAATGATGTTTCACTGCCAATCCAGACACAAAGGGACAAA